TCTTGTCTGTTTTTTTGCTGTTGGTATTGTTTCCCTCTCTCTGCTTCTTTTTCTGCACACTCCTCGACCCTCTGATTGAACTTCCAAGTTTGGGAAGAAACCGACCATCCACCAGATGACTAGAAATCGCTGCAGGACCACAAGAAATATGGGGAAGCAGGAAAATACCTCTCCCACAAGGGAAAAGGATAGCTCCTCTTTATCCACACACAGTTCAATGGAAATCATGGAAATGTCTGATAAAGAATTCAGAACATTCATAATGGCAAAGCTAACAGAGATGGAAGAGAAGAGAGACAAGGAACTGCTGAAGAGGAAGGAGAAAGGAGTTGAAGAGTTCCAGGAGGTGAGGAAATTCATGCTAGATCTAAAAGAGGAATTTCACACTTTACAAAAGAATCAGATGGAACTGTTAGAGATGAAGGCTATAATACAAGAAGTCAAAATCTCCCTTGAAAGTATTAAAAGCAGACTAGATCATACAGAAAATAGAATCTCTAATGTAGAAGAGAAAATGGTTGGCCTAGAAAAATCCACCGCGAAGACTGAGAAAATGGCCCAAAAATTTGAGAATAATATGCGAGAAGTACTAGATACCATCAAACGTCCAAACATCCGGATAATAGGCATCCCAGAAGGTGAAGAGACTCATAAGGGCATTGATAATCTATTCCATGAAATCTTACAAGAAAATTTTCCAAACCTGGAGAGGCACTCAAAGATTCAGACCCAAGAAATACAGAGGACCCCAAATAGAATCAACCCAAGAAGATCTTCTCCAAGACACGTTATAGCCAGATTGACCAAAACCACAGACAAAGACAAGATACTAAGACTGGCAAGAGAAAAAAGGCAAGTTACCTACAAAGGGTATCCCATCAGACTAACGGCAGACCTCTCATCGGAAACAATGAGAGCGAGGAGAGAATGGGAAAATGTATTCAAAGTATTAAGGGAAAAGCAATTTCAACCGAGAATTCTGTACCCAGCAAGGTTATCGTTCATTTGGGAAGAAAAGACACGAACTTTCCCAGATAAACAAAACCTGAAAGAATTTACCAGCACCAGACCGGATCTCCAAGAAGTTCTTAAGGGAGTGCTATGTCAGTAAAATTAAATGCAGACACACAGAAATAAGAGTTCAGAAACTAAGAAAATGGGCAACTTAATTGTAGGGCCAAAAGCTGGAGTTGAGTATTACATCCCAGATTTCAATCTGGAACATCGAACCTCAACAGATACAGAAGAAAGATTAAGTACATGAGACTGAACTGATGAAACAGTATTCTACGACTTGACTAAAATATTGCTGCTTTTCTTCTAAGCTTTGTTGTCTGGTTTTAAGGACTTTTGTCCTGTCTTCAGCTATCAATAGATTCATGTTCCGACTATTTGAACAGAATACTAACCTGTTTCTAGGCTTTAAGTTTCAAAGAAATATCCTTACCAGTTCAAAACTGCTTTTCTTGAAACCATCGGCTGATCTTGCTATTGAAAGTAGTTAGATTACTTATGATATTGTGTGATCAACGAAATGTTGGGGGAAAAGGAATTGAAGACAACTGTAGACAGCAGAGATAGTGTAATAAGAGAGTGGAATAGGGCAGAGGGCTAGACATGGGGTAAAAAACATATATATGAACGTAGAAATGGAATATTATGGATGATAACATGCATTATTAAGCCACTATATAGTATATTCTAGATGGGAAACCACATTTAGAATGTTGTGATGATGCTCAGGGAATGAATGTAAATTAATAAAAAAAAATTTTTTCAGAAGAAAAAAAAAAAGGCATTAGAAATACCTATTTGATGACTGCAGTTAAGCTATATAGCCCTAGTTAGGTGCTACTTTATAGTATGTTCATTCTATTCACTGAGGTTTATGCCTAAAGTCAGTCTTGTGTTCATGGATATGTACATATCAGCTGTGCTTGCTATTGAAAATATTTAGATTTATTAAGATATTTAGTGAAACAATAAAATGGGGGAGGCATAGAAAGCAACAATAGATACCAGACACAGTGTGGGAGGAGGGTGGGAGATGGCAGAGGGTGAGATAGGGAATCAAGGATGGGAAAAAAGGCAAAATATAAAGAAAACAAGAAATGGAAAATGATTTGTTGACAATAACACATATGTTGATGTGCTTGATTGAGCCAATATACAGTGTATTCTCAATGGAAAAATCTCATTTTGTATGCTATAATGATGTACAGTGAATGAATGTAAATAAAGAAAAAAATGTATTAAAAAAAAAAATCTCAAATGACAGAATCAACATTCGAAGCATGCTATAGTATCACTGTGAACTCCCCACAAGACCTGTCTTCCACATTTAGGTCTGACACTCGTGCTTTATATAAGAGAGTGACACTGAGTAATTTTTTAAGTATTTTTGTTTAAATTAATACTGAAGTCCTCTTTTGTTTTCTTTCTGCCCCTGCTCTTTGTATTATAGTTTTATCATGACAACCACTTAATTTTTCTTTTTCACTTAATGTGATCCCTTAATACCTTCAATGATGGTTATGATATTTTTAGGCCCACAGACATGTGTAGCAGTGTTTGTTTCTTGTAGGCTGCGGAGATAAAGCCAGAGATGGAACTTTCTATCTTAAAAGATTCAGTGATAGAAACTATTCCACACTCCAACCAGAGGTGAAGATTCATCTCACCGGCCTTCGAAATGACTACTGTAAGTTATTGTTTAGATTATGAATTGAAAAGTTGAAATGATAAAATGTATCTGGTGCCAAGGTATAACCATGAGATTTGATTCTGAAAGAACCAGCTTGTCTTTGTGCCCCAAGTCCAAATGACGTGCTGTCCAAATATGGTGAATGTAGTTGGGTTTCCTTGTGCAGCTTTCATATTCAGGAATGGATATTAGTGTTGGTGAAGCATGAGAAATACACGTTTTGTGTTTCAGTATTAGAATGAATGAACTAATGATGTATACTTTAAACATGGGTAAATCTAATCAGCCAAACGACTACACTGGGTCAGTTAGTTATGTGCCCAGTTTGTAATCTAGTTAGGAAGACAGAACTCACCCCTACGGAACTGACATCAACATGCCAATGTAGAATGTAAATAAATGAGGTACGGGGTATATGGAACTATAAAGATTATAAGTAGCTCGGTGAATTCTGGAGTTGTCTACAAAGACTTTGTGGAGATATTCAGACTTAAGCTGTATCTTGAAAGATGAGTAGGACTTAGAAGTGTGTAGGGGAGAAGAGGGAGTATTTTTGGTATTAAACATGAGTAAAAGTAGATATTGGTAATTAATAATAATTAATGGCAACGAAAATTATATATTGGAGACTGGTGAATAGGAGGTTGGATTCAGGTTTAGAGAATCTCCAAAGTCAAGCATAGAAAGTTATTTGTGTTTTGGGAATTGTCGACGAAGAGAATAGCAAAGGGAAATCCATTGCAGAGTATGCAGAATGAGTTTTGTAGGAGAGAGCTACTGGAGTAAGAGCTTATTGTCCCTTCGTGAGGAAAAATATCTAGGTAGATAAATTTAAAATTATTCCAAGTTTTTGAAGCAGAAGAGTGGTGTCACTGGTTAGAAAGTTGACAGGCGAGGTGGTTTGGGAGGGAAGACTGTTCTTGGACTATTACATTAGAGGAGACAGTGAGACATCGAAGAGCTTTGGCAGATGATTAGAAATGAAGTTGAGAGTTGAAAGAGAGGTTTTGACCATAATCATCCAACCTATATGCTAGTCCATATACGTTGGACTAGCATATATGTTGCATATAGGTTGGATGATTATGGTCAAAGTCAAGAGCCAATGTGAGTTCTCTGGGTGAAATAGAGAGGAGCAAAGGGAAGGGACTTTTACAAAGAGAAATAAGTAAGAAAAAAACCCCCAAATAACTGAAGGAACTAGTTCTCTACCTTTCTATTCCTACAGCTTCTTCTCTGAGAGAATTTATTCTCATGATCAACTAAGGAGAATACGTTTTCAAGAAAAGCTCAACCAACACAAAACATGTGAAAGAGAACCAACTTTTATTTTCACTTTTCTTTTAAGTCATAGCCCCCTTTCCCTTTTCTCCTTGACATCGAAACTTGTCAATATAGGTTTATACTCACAGTTTCCTACTTCTCATACTACATTGTCTTAAATCCACTCGGTCAAGATTTAGATCTTACTATTCCATTGAAACTGCTCCTGTGAACAACACCAAAGAACTAATTTTAAATCCAACAGTTACTTCTTCGATCTCATTTACTTAACTCTATCAACCATATTTGAGACAGTTGATTAATCCCTTTTGATATCCCACTCTCTTGGATTGCATCCTAGTTATATATTCACTCTTTTTTGCTGGTTTCTGTTCCTCTTCTGTCTCCCTGCCTTCTAATGAATGTAAGAATACTCAAGGCTCACTTCTGAAACATTATTTCTTTTCTACTTCCTCTGCCTCTGCTGCTGCTTCTTCTCCTTCTCCTTCTTCTTCAGGTTTTGATGTATGGCGTATGTGCTCACTGGAGAGAGACCCAGAGAGAGGGAAAGTGAGAAATGACATCTCTGTGGGGGATGGCTACACCACCATAATTTTTCCTTCACTTTCCTCTTGGGATTTTGGGCACACATGCATACATGCTCAACGTATTTTTCAAGTTGATGTGTCTGGGACCCAAACTTAGCAGTCAGCTGTTCGGGATCCAATGCCTTAACCAACACTCTACCTACTGGCCTCTTTTCTATTTCTGTTCTATTTTGGCTTATGGGCTATCTCTTTCTCTTTATTCCTCTTTTCTTTTTTGATTGCCAAAGAGGTGGGGAGAGAGAACGCTCCAAAGGGGCATGATCATGCTGCAGTTCTCCCTCCATTTCTCCATCCTTTTAGAATTTGGGGCGCACGCGCACACACACACACACACACACACACACACACACATTCTCTCTCTCTCTCTCTCTCTCTCTCTCACACACACACACACACACACACACACACACACACACACGCACAGAGTTTCCTGATGTGTTTTTCAAGTCACTGGAGCTGGGATCCAAACTGTAGTCAGCCATGTGGGATTTGACTTTCAATGTATAGCATTTAACTGCTGCTCTATAGGTTGGTCCCTGACTTTATCTTTTTTTAATTGTGTTTTCAGTTGTTCTAAGAATCACCATTTAATCTAATCTTTCTCAGTCTACTTAAAGTTACTATTGTACACTTCATACAATATATAAAACCCTTGGGATTATACATGGCATCTTCAAAAAGTTAATGGAAAATCATATTATAAAAAAACTATGCATGAATTTTAACTTCTTTTGGGACAAAACTAAACCTTTTTTAAAAAAAAGAGAGAGGATTTATTTATTTATTTATTTATTTATTTATTATTATAGGGTGCATTTGCTTATCAGGGAGACAGAGAGACGGGGGGATGGCCATGTTGCAATCCTTTCCCCTCCATTCTCCTCTTGGGATTTTGAGCACACATGTACACATGCCTGGTGTGAGTTTAAACTGTTGGGTCCAGGACTCAAACCACAGTCAACTATGTGGGAGTCCAGCAATGTAACCATTATGCCTAGGTCATCATGAGGTTTTCAGCTGTTCGTTATGTTTTCCTGTTACCAATGTCCACTAAATTTTAAATTTTATCTTGGACATTGTAGATGTTATGTTGGAGTCACCTGGTTTTTACATATAGATCAGAGATTAGGCTGAGACATGAGTAAATGTTTCAAATTTTAGTTCAGTTCTCAAAGCCTTTGCTAAGCTGATTTGAGTCTTCCCTGTTCTTACATGATTTAGGGGTTAGGCTGACGTGTGTGAGTTCATATACTCACAAAGAATCCCTTTCTCTGGCTCTGTCCTCTCTAATGCTTCTCCTCACATGTTGGCCACTCCAAGTTCCTGTCCCTGGTTCCTCTGGCCAGAAATAAGGTGGGCCTGGCTGCAGATGTTATACCATGGCTAAGGCCTGCCCTTTTTATCACAGCCTTGCCAGGATTTATCATTCTTTCTTTATTAAAAATGATAATTTATTGGAACCAGCAGATAGCATAATGACTACATCACTGGACTCCCATGTAGTCGACCGTGGTTCAAGTCCCGGACCTGGTGGCTTAAACTCACGCCAGGTATGTGTGCATGCGTGCCCAAGATCCCAAGAGGAGAATGGAGGAGAAGGGATTGTGGCGTGGCCATTCCCCCTGGGGGGTGATTTCTCACTTTCTGCCTCTCTGTCTCTCTCTGTCTTTCTGGTGAGTGTATGCACCGTATAGGAAAAACCTCTTCAAAAACAATAATTATTTTTATTTATGATTATTGTTATTATTCTTTAAATTTACTATGGTGGATATGTGCTCATGGAGAGAGAGAGAAAGAGAGAGAGAGAAAGTGAGAAAGCAAGCTATGAGGTCCTGGACTTGAGCCATGGTTGGCCATGGAGTCTATCTAGTGCCTTAACCACCATGCCACCTGTTGACCCAATTCTTTATTTTTAAAATCATACTCATTCTGACTTGGTGGTATCTCATTATGGTTTTGATTTGCATCTCCCTTATGATAAGGGATGCTGAACAGTTTCTCATAGCTTTTTGGCTGTTCATATGTCTTCCTTGGAGAGTTGTCTGTTCAGCTCATTTTCCTAATTTTTAATTGGATTGTTTTTTTGGGGAAGATAAGCTGCTTGAGTTCTTTGTATATTCTGGTTATCAGTCCCTTATCTGAGGTATAGTTTGCAAATATATTCTCCTGTTCTGAGGATGTTTCTTTTGCTGTGCAGAAGCTTTTTAACTTGATATAATCCCACTTGTCTATTTTGGGGATTATTGCCTGTGCTTTGGGGATTTTATTTAAAAAAGTCTTTGGCTACTCCAATGTCTCTAAGAGTTTCTTCTTGTGGTTTCCACCAATAGTTTTATAGTTTGAGGGTATTTTGTTTGTTTGTTCGTTTTTAGAGACTTTTGCCATAAGGTGCAAGAGGGAGGATGGTCATACTGCAGTCTCTTCTCCTCCATTCTCCTCTTTGGATCCTGGGAACCTGGCATAATTTTGAAGCCACTGAGTCTGAGACTTGAACTGTGGTTAGCCATATGGGAGTCCAGCAATGTAATCACTGTGCCATTTGCTGGCCCCATATAGCTTGAAGTTTTATGTTTACGTCTTTGATGCATTTTGAATTGTTTTTGTCAATGGAGAGAGATAGGTTTGGAAAGTTTTCCTAAAGTATTTCATGGAATAGATTTTCTATGTCCTTATTAGATTATTCTTCTTCTGGAATACTAATTATTTGGATATTTTGGTGTTTAATAATATCTAGCATTTACTATATGTTATCTTCATTTTTGGGGGGTTATTTTTTCATTCTTTTTGGTGTTTTTGTCTGTCAGATTTTGTTTTACAGATTGGAGATTTGATCTTCTATGTGGTCTAATCTGCTATTAATACTTTCAAGGGAGGTTTGATTTCTTATAGAAGTTCTGTTTGATTCTTTTTATGGTATCTATCTCCTAATTCAAGTCATAGAAGGCCTTCCTCATCTCCTGGAGTTGGTTGACTATTTTCTTTTTTATCTCATTTAGTTTTGTCACTCTGAATCTTCCAAATTCTTTTTCTGACATTTCTGTCAGTTCTATTGTGTTGTCTGTGTTTGATGAGGAATTGTTGCTCCTTTAGAAGTTCCTTTGTTGTTTCATATTTCTTGTGCCTCTGTGCTGGCTTTTAGTCATCTGATGAAGTACATGTTTCTTTCTACTGTTTTAAGTAGGTTCTGTAGTGAAAAAAAAAAACAAAAACTTCTTTTTCTCAAGTGTGTTTTTTGTAGAGGGCTGTGTATTCCATCAGAGTAGGATGTATCTATCCAGATTCAGATGCTTGGTTCCTCTAACAACCTTTCAGGATGAGATGCACCTGGGAATGGGTTGGGACTATGTAACTAATGAAAGAAGCAGAAGTCGTGCACTGCACACAGCATGGCATGCAGTCTGGTGAACTGTGAAATCTGAAATGTTGAGGAGCAGGGGTGCGCCTGTGAAAGAATTTCGAGCTGCTCTCTGTCAGCAACTGGCTCCTTTGGGCTTTCCTGGGCTAGTTGGTGGGATTTGAAAGGCAACGGTGGGTGCAGGACAGGCAAAGAATCCAAAAACAGACACCAAGAGGGCAGAGTAACACTGGCAGAAAAATTCCCAGTTCCTCTCCATCAGTAGCTGGCTCCTTTGGTTCTCCTGGAACTTGAAAGCACATGCTTTAATTTTCAGTAACCTGTAGATGAAATCCATGTGTACTAAATTATGGTACATGAATCTTCTAAGTTCTTTAAATCCCTAAATAAGTAGTATATTTGAACATAAGTGATAAGACTTATTACTTTTGAAACTGTGAGTCTTGACATTAAATTCTATTCCAGTTTTCATTTTTGAACTCTAATGACCTGTTTGGATCTGTGACTCTACCTTCCAACTGACCACTGGATGGTAGAATCTTTTCCCCCTACCTATAAAGTTGTTGATTTGCAACTGTTTTTATTTGACTGTATGAGGATTGTAATTCAAAGTACTTTTCTTATAGATCTGAATATCCTAGACTGGAATTTTCAAAATCTTGTTGCTATAGCCCTTGGATCTTCTGTGTACATATGGAATGAGATGCACAATGGGATTGAAAACATAGACTTAAGTGTCTCTTGTAATTATATATCTTCTGTGGCCTGGATAAAGGAAGGAACCTGCCTGGCAGTTGGCACCAGCGAGGGAGAAGTGCAAGTACTGGACAGTATTTCCACCCCCACCTCCCCATAATGTTTGCTGTGAAATTATTAGAAAACTGAAATGAACTTTCTTTTCTTTTTCTTTTCCTTCCTTCCCTCCTTCCTTCCTTTCTCTTTCTCTCTTTTTTTTCTTTCTTTCTCTTCTTCCTTCCTTTCATCTTTTCTCTTCCTTTTTCTTTTTTCTTTCCTCGTTCTTCCTTCCTTTTTTCTTTCTTCCTCTCTCTCTCTCTCTTTCTCTCTCTCTCTCTCCCTCCCTCCCTCCCTCTGTCTCCTTATTTTGCTGTAGGATACCTGTGCTTGCTGGAAAGAGAGAGAGAAAGAGAGAGGGGAAGTAAGAAAGCACTCCCCCAGGAGGTATGGCCAGGCCATGATCCATTCTCTATTTTCCTTTGGGGATTTTGGGCACACATCTACATGTGCCTGGTGTGTTTTTCAGGCCACCTGGTCTGGGGTTCAAACTGCACAGTTGGCCATGTGGGTTCCTGCTTCTTTAACCACCACACCACCAGCTGTCTCTAGAACTGACTTTTCATAACAGGTTATTATAAAAGAGAAACTAGGTGTGATACTTGAATCTATGGGGAGTGAGAGGGCATACCATGCTGTTTTTTGTTCCTCCCTCTCCAAATGGCATTAAAAAAATGCCCCCAAATTTGTTTTTCTGACATTAACACAAGAACTTTTCCTCTTTTTACATTTAATTTTTAAAAATTGTGTAAAATACATATAAATTCACCATTTTTACATGTACAGTTTATTGGCATTGAGTACATTCATATTTTGGATAATCGAGTCCTCTTTTGTTTAGTGCTAGTATATGGATGAATTTCCTAGGACTGTCATAAAAAATTACCACAAACTTGTCTATGAGTAAATGTTGGCAGCATGAAGACAGGGAAGGAGGAATTTAGTAGACTGTAATGTATTTTTTTTTTTTTTGAGAGATTTTCACTGTAGGGCGCGTGCGCTCGCCAGACAGACAGAAGAGACATAGAGACAGAAAGCGAGAAATCACCCCCCCAGGGGGGATGGTCACGCCGCAATCCCTTCTCCTCCATTCTCCTCTCGGGATCTTGGGCACGCATGCACACGCGCCCGGCGTGAGTTTTAAGCCACCGGGTCCGGGACACGAACCACAGTCGACTACGTGGGAGTCCAGCGACATAGCCATCACGCCAACTGCTGGTTCCCTAGACTGTAATATTTTTATACTGTATATAAATTCACATAATATCACTTAGATTGTGATAAGTTAAAGTTGTTTACTAAAAAACCCTAAAGCATTTAATGAAATACCATAACAAAACATTATAACCAACAAGCTAAATAAACTGAAACTGAATAGCATTTAGTGAGGACTTAAGAACATTCTGCTTAGTTTTCTCCACAGGCTTTCTTTCTACCACAGGTGTTTAAAATATATTTTCTCTAAAATAAAGGTGGCTGATAGGACTCCCAGCTTTGTACAGAGGAGGATAGAGGTTTTTGCCACAAAGTGCGTGTGCTTGCCAGAGATAGAGAGAGAGGGAGACAGAGACAGAGGCAGTAAGAAGGAAAATGAGAACTCCCCCCCACCATGGGGAATGGCCATGCCACAATCCCTTTTCTTCCATTCACTTGGGATCTTGGGCATGCATGCATGTGCACCTGGTGTGAGTTTCAAGCTTCCAGGGTTTGGGACTCAAACCATGGTTGGCTAGGTGGGAGTCCAATGATGTAACCACTACACCATCTGCTGGTCCCAGTTCTCCTTTCTCATTTGAGACCATGATTAGGAATAGAGTTACATCAAATGAATAAATTATTATTATTATTTTTTCCTGACAGGCTCTTAGAGGTAGGGATATATTAGTTTTCACAAATCTATCTGATTTTTTATGCTTACTATTATTATTATTGTTATTTTAAAGTATTTTTAAAAATTATTTTATTTAACTTTATCTATACATTTATTTATTTATTTTAATTTAATCAGAGAGGAATAGAGTGAGAATGAGAGAGAAAGTGAGAAAGCAAGCCGCCAGGTCCAGGACTTGAACAGTGGTCGGCCATGTGGGAGTCCAGTACCCCAACCACCATGTCACCTGCTGGCCCTTGTTATTTTAAAGTTTATTTATATATAGAGAGTCATCCCTATTGGAGTTTTCATGCTGCGTTCTACCCTCAGCTTTAGCCAGCCTGGATCACAGGCACACGAATGCCTGGAGTGTACAGGGAGGCCTTGAGATGCAAACCCAACACTTTCTCATATGGATCTAGCACGTGGACCCACAGAGCATTGTGTTACTGCCATGCCACTCTCTGGCCACTTACTATTGTTTATTAACAATAATTAAATGGTATTGCCCAGGGGTTAGATGATTTAGGAGAACCTCAGATGGCTGTCTCTGTGTTCTCATCTCTGCAATAGCATTGGACACTCTGAAGGTTAGGTCCTTACGAAAGTTGTCAGTCTTTCTTTCTTTTTTTAAAGGAATATAAAACTACTTATTGACCACTGTTCACTGGTATTTACAATAAAGTAAGCAATGTGCAATTGGGTAACATTCTGGTTACTACAGAGTTATTGATTTTCCTCCCTTCTGCTGACCCAGTAACCAGTACTGCATGAGGCCTACATGAAAGAAATGAGTTGGTGTTAGGAAAAGAAACATGCACAGTAGTTTAGATCACAAATTTGTTCACTCATTTATGCCAGCAAGTCCTGAACTGCTAACATCTTTAACCATCTGATTAGGTTTCCACGAACCAAATCTTACACCTTTCATGAATAATGACCTTTTAGTCAATAAAGCATAAGGATTTCAACTTTTTGTAAAGGAAAAGTTCACTAGAGGATTCAAATGCCCACTTAACTAAGTCTTTCTTAACTAAACACTGGGATTTGTCTGTTTTTGTCATCTGGGAGGGGAGCTTGTTGGTAACAGTACAATTTCCCCTTTCAGGAATTCTGCAAATAAACTTGAATTTATATGACTATGGAAAGATAAAAATTCTGATATGGTTGCTTTTAAGTTATCCAATTTAGAACGTCCAATTACAAAATCATTATTTAGTTTGAAAGGTTATGGCTTCAGGAAAACTTTCAATTTAATTTGGAGCAACTTATTTCTTATTCTGAGGTTGCTCAGAATGATGGTATCTCAGACACATGAGCTGATACAGTTTTTGTTTTGGTGAAGTTTTCAAAAACATTTACATATTATTTTATGTATACACACAGAGAGACAAGACAAAAAACCCAGACTGGTATTGAGGCATATGAGTTAAACACAAATTCTTCCTGAGTAATAACAATGAAATATTTCCCCAACATTTAGAAAACCTGTTCCCAAAGGCAGAGGATAAAATATCATGGTATGAAATGTTATTTTCTGATAAGGAAGCAATTATAAAAAGTAACCAATTTTATTGGGATGTAACCCCCCTTACTTCCCCCAATACTACTTTCAAAATGTAGTTATTTCTCGGGAACCAGCAGTTAGCGTAATGGCTATGTCGCTGGACTCCCACATAGTCGACCGCGGTTCGCGTCCCGGACCCGGTGGCTTAGAACTCACGCCGGGCACGTGTGCATGCGTGCCCAAGATCCCGAGAGGAGAATGGAGGAGAAGGGATTGCGGCGTGACCATTCCCCCTGGGGGGTGATTTCTCGCTTTCTGTCTCTATGTCTCTCTCTGTCTGGCGAGCGCACGCGCCCTATAGCAAAAATCTCTCCAAAAAAAAAAATGTAGTTATTTCTCCATACTAGTAATCAAAATCCAAGACCCGGTGTGTGTGTGTTTGCTCAATGCAGACAAGTATTGAGCTTCATCTTCTGGACAAGAATGCCAAGTTAGTCTCTCTTCATAAAAAGCAATTACATTTGCTTCTGTTGCCAGTACCAAGTCTGAATCTTTCTATCTCATGAGAAGTATCCACTCTCCACTGCTGTCTGTGGCACCAATTATTCGTGCAGGATCCGGACCTCTGGCAAAGCCTCTTGGTTTATCAGCAGCATCTCTTTTCTTTGATTTGCTATCGTCACATTCACTGTCAGATAAGGATTTTCTCTTTGTACCATCTTCTTTACCAGCATTTTGAGAATTAAGAAATGCTTCGATTAACGCTGGACAATCTAAATTTTGTTCTTGTTCCCAAGTATTCTCAGCATCTGTAAATCCCTTCCACTTCAGGAAATATTCCACCTTCCCATTCACTAGGCGTCAGTCCAGTACTTTTTCCACCACAAATTCTTTGGACTCTGCTTCTTTAACTTTTATACTCTTTCCGTTTTTGTTCTTACCCATTTTTTTTGCAATGTAGTTTTTTTTTTTTAAACAATTATTTTATTTAACTTTATTTTTTTACTCATTTAAATTTTATCAGAGAGAGACAGAGGGAGAGAGAGAGGGAGAGAGAGAGAAAGAGAGAGGAGGAAAGCAAACCACCAGGTCTGGGGTTCAAACTGGGGTTTGTCATGTGGGAGTTTACCGCCCTTAACCACCATGCCACCTGCCAACCACCCACAATATAGTTTAATTGGAGGCCATTTTTAGCTGCAGACTCTAAGAGTTCACCTTTCCGAGCTGAGCTGCTCCAGGTCGTGGGTGTAATGGGTCTCTGGCCCTACATGCCTCAAGCTCCAGCCACTTCCGAGGGGGAGGGACAAAGTTGTCATTCTTCATGTGTGTGGAATACCATCTGTAGCTGGCAGGAAAGGAATCTCTTAGCAGTAAATGGAACTTCTGACTCTAGCAAGTGCCCAGGCACCCAGATTTTATTAATATATTTGTTGGTAACTGTAGGTAAAAATTCCAGGTTTGGAATTCCCATGCTTTAGAAGGCACTAGAAATGTCATGATTCAACCTGTGGCTGCACGTTGAATTCGCTTGGGGAGCTTAAAAATAAATGTCATATCCCCAGTTAAACTGGAATTGTCACTAGTATCCACAGTGTTTTAGACCCCTCAGGTGATCTTCATATGCAGAGCTATGACTGGTGGTTAGTGTAAAAGATGGCTGAGTTTCCACTTAGCACAGAGACTAACAGTAATTGGCTATTAAGCCTTGGAGAAGGCAGGGGTTGTGAAATGCTGCATGGATATATACAATTTATGTGGGGGTACATCTGTATAGCTTTATAAGTGATGTTAAAGCAGTCTTAAAAATCAAGTAGAACATCAAAGGAACTATATCATAATGCAAAGAAGTTATAACATGAGAAAATACTGAATCTAGGATACGCTCTGCCTCCTATACATCCAGGTCTTTCACACAAGCTCTCTGAGCTCTGGTTCCCTTCGCTTTAAATTGAGGTTAATAACATCTATCTTAAAGGGCCTTGAGAGGATTACATATTTTTAGGATCATGCATTAGAAGGATTACATTGGAAAGGGACTTGTGAACTTTTATTGTGCCGTCAAGATGTTAGGATATTATTGTATTAGATTGTACTAGCAATAAATAAACATGAGTCAATATTTATATATGATAATAGAGAGAGAAATATGATTTTGTCATTATATTTCATATTAGAATGAGGAAAGTAGTTATAAATCATTGACAGTAACTAATAAAAATAATCATTGTTGAATGAAAAAAAAAAGAAATGCCAATGCTACGTAACTGTTTTTCTTCTTTTCAGTTATGGGATGTGGTAGCTAAAAAGCGGCTGAGAAATATGCTTGGTCATCTGTCGGTAGTTGGGGCTCTGAGCTGGAATCACTGTATCCTCAGCAGGTAAGACGCATCTTACTGCAGTCAGTTATGCTTACGTCACTGATTGAGTGTGAGAACTGCAACTCTGTATTTAAAACCAAACCCAACATTGAAAGAAGAAAAAGACAATAGATTAATATCACACCCTTTCAGGTGTTCAGATTCTCGGGGGATAGAAGTGTTCTAGAGGCCACTCCTTAGTTAATTAGTTGCAATTTACCTGTTAGAGAAAAGAAATCATCAATTTCTATGTCTAACATTATACAGTAACCATATACTGAAACTATTTCATTGAGATAATATAAAATATTCTGAAAAAAAATTTTTTTAAACTTTGTTTATTTATTTTAATTTGACCAGAGAGGGACAGAGAGAGAGAGAGCAAGAGTGAGAGAGAGAGGGAGGGAGGGAGGGAGGGAGAGAGAGAGAGAGAGAGAGAGAGGGAGGGAGAGGGAGAGAGAGGGAGAGAGAGAGAAAGTGAAAAAGCAAGCTACCAGGTCCAGGACTCAAACTGCGGTTGACCATGTGGGAGTCCAGTGCCCTTAACCACCATGCCACCTTCTGGCCCCCAGAAAAGTACTGTTTTCTAGGTCCAGTATGTACATGTCCAATACCTGAGAAAATATGATTGTCTTCTAAATTTATCTTTCCCATGGCTGCATCATATAAAGCCATTTGAGACATCTATTAAACAATACTTTTTTGACTCCAGATTTGAAATTTGAATCTGTGGGTCATTGGAAAAGTCATGACGCATTTTTGTATAGAAAAACAGAAAAATATGTCATGATTTTTTCTGACAACCCAAAGTCTCACTTGTGGAAAAATAGCTCCAGCAGAATATTCCATCCCTAACAACTTAAGGAATTCCCATCTGTCTCTGAATCTGTCTACAAGAATCTTTTAGTAGTTTTACTTTGACCTATGCTTTCTCCATTTTTTTTCTTTTGAGAGAGATTTTTGCTGTAGGGCATGTGCACTCGCTGGAGAGACGGAGAGATAAAAAGTGAGAAATCATCTCCCCCCTTCCAGGAAGGATGGCTATGCCACAATCTCTTCTCCTTTTGGGATCTTGCTCACACCCGCACACACACTAGGTGTGAGTTTAAGCTGCCAGGTCCGAGACTCAAGTCACGGTTGACTATGTGGGAGTCCAGTGACATAACCAATACGCCATCTGTTTGTGCCCCTCCATATTTTCAAATACTTATGTGGCAATGGGACTTAATTTCTCTGTCATGTGAACCTGCCTTTCTACCTCCTGTGTAGTGGGTCCCGACTGGGGCGTGTTCATCATCACGATGTTCGAGTAGCTCAGCATCACATTGGGTCCCTTCACCATAAGCAAGCTGTGTGTGCTCTGAAGTGGTCACCAGACGGCAGGCTGCTTTCCAGTGGCTGTAGTGACGGACTGCTGACAATATGGCCCCATGATCTGGGTGCCAGTGCACAGGGCCAGCCACTGCAAGTCATAACCCAGTCTACAGCAGTCAAGGTAAGAAATCCAACAGCTTTCTAGGTTTCTTTTTCCTCAGAGACCATTGGGTATAACTACGAAATGATAACCACTAAGCCAATATTGTGTGAGTTTTTTGTTTGTTTGTTTGTTTGAATTTGTTTTCGGTTTGTCATCAAGCCCCTAAAAGACAACCATATATATAAATTTTCCATGAGTCAGATTTGGGGTTGTAAGTGACTGAAACCAAAGTTAAGCTTAAGTGAAAAGGTAAATTTATTTTTTCATATAACGGTGAAGTCCTGTATACATTCAGTTTGTTCAAACATTGGCTGAATTTAGCACCTTGAATGAGTCATCTGAACCCTGCCTTTTTGGCGTTTGGTTCTGCTTCTCTCTGTTTAGTTTCATTCTTCCTTCAGACTCCTTTGTGGGCAAGATGGCTCTTGGCAGCTTCAGTTTCAGATTCCCCCAGATGGTGTTAGATAAGAAGGCATCTTTTGGGACCAGCAGATGGAGTAGTGGTTATGTCCCTAGACTTCCACATGACTGAATGTGGTTTGAGTCCTGGACCTAGTGGCTTGAAAATCACATTGGGTCTGTGTGCATGTGTGCCCAAGTGTGCATGCATGCCCAAGACCCTGGGAGAAGAATGAAGAAGAAGGGATTGTGTCATGGCCATCCCCCCCCACCCCACTGGGGGTGACTTCTCACTTTCCCTCCCACTGCATCTGTCTCTTTCTCTCTCTAGTGAGTACACGCGTCCTCAGGCAAAAACCTCTAAAAAAAAAAGAAAGAAAAAAGAAAGAATACCTCTTTTCTTATAATGCTGGTGGAAAAGTGCCAGGAAGAACTCTATCTGCCTTTGGTGACATCCTCATCTCTCAGTTGATAATTGTGGCCAGAGAGATGCGCACAACGATAGACCAGGGTCATGAGCTCATAGCTGAGAAAGATCGGTTGCCAGGAGGAGTAGGAAGGGTGCTGTAGAGTCAAAGCAAAACTCCACTATGCTCTGCATAATTGTTTCTTATGTATTTAAATATTTTATTTTTAGTAAAAATTTATACATCCCATCTTGGAGGGATATATAAATTTATAGATGTGAGTCTCAACTTCAACATCATTCCAGAATATTTTTCATTCACAGAGAGAAGACATGATTTAACTACTAAACAAATTTATTAGAACGAGATCTTAAAAGTTATCATAGGCTTTCTTAATGTAAGGTGAAATATACAATGACCTCAACTACTGGTATAGTGCTCTAACTGGGGTTTCTAATATCTACAGGGCATTGAGAGTGATTTTTAAAAATTAATTACTCAAAATAAATATAGGAAAAATGTATGTAAAATATTTTGCCTACTATCGAAATATAAAAATGGAAGCAAAACAAAAAGCAGATGAAAAACCCAAGCCAAAAAAACCAATTATCTTCTTGGATGCTTTGTGGTTGAAATACAATGGCATGAACTACTAAATCAAAGCCCTCTTCACTAAGACAGTCTCCAAAAACCCAAACAAGTCAAGCTTCTTGGTGGCTGATACTTGGGCAATCACAAGAATAGTCACTTGTTTTGGTATTGTCCTATTTGCCACTAACTAACTAAAAGGTATAGCTGGAGTGAATTTTCAGAAGACAGTATCTGTGTGATTCGTCTTGTGATATAGCTTTTAGTTTTGCCAAAACAGCTTGCTTTACAGGTGTAGCAAAACATTTAACAGACACAAGAATATAAAGTTCTTTGTTGAAAATGATGTAGATAGTGGAATCCCTGATTTGACAATCACATATTGCATGCATGCTTTGAAAAACCATATTATATACCATAAAGATTTATGCCAATTATGGGACAAGCAGTTGGCATAATGGCTATGTCACTGAACCCCCATGTAGTCAACCATGGTTTAAGTCCTGGACCCAGTGGCTTAAACTCATACTGGGCACGTGTGCGTGTGTGCTCAAGATCCAGAGAGGAGAATGGAGGAGAAGGGATTGTGGTGTGGCCATCCCCCACGCCCGGGGAGTGATTTCTCCCTTCCTGTCTGTCTCTCTCTTTCTGGTGAGTGCATTCGCCCTATAGCAAAAACCTCTCCCCCCCCCAAAAAAAATTATGCTGATTAAATGTAAATAAGGAAAAAATATAAAAATAGTTGGAAGTAGGATATAGAAGACAATGATTAGTAGTACGTAGAAAATACTAATATCCACTATATGGTAAAATTTGGGTTCCTACGTTCAGAGGAATTTAATAATTTCCTGTAAAATTTTATGTTTCCTAAAATAGTCTTTTTCCATCCAGTCAAGGGTGTAGCTTATGTTATTTGAAAAAGACAATAAAAGCAGGTAATTGTGAATACATATAATAATGCATACCATAAGTATTTTATTTCAACTGAAAGGCATTTTATTCTCCATATTCATTAAATTATATACTCATTCACAATATAAGGCCTGGCCTTTACTTTGAATGTAGGTTGGCTGATTAGAATTCCTCATTGTCTTTCTTCCTTTTTGTTTAGTATTTTCTTTTTTTTAGATTTATTTTTCTTTCTTTCCTTCTTCTTCTTTTTTTATATTTAATCACTGTATATCTTTACAGCATACAAAATTAATTTTCTCAGCATGAATACACTATATATTAGTCTAATCAAAGGTATTAGCAAGTAATTTTCCATTTTTGTGTCCCTTAAATGCTTTGCTTTTTTCCCCCTTGATTCTCTCACTCTCACCTTTCTATCCCTCTACCCTCCACCCCTCCATCCCTCATTGCCCACTGTCCTTACGCACTACTTTTGATTTTTTAAAAGTAATTATTTATTTTATTATTATGATTATTATTATGATTATTATTTAACTTGACCAGAGAACAACAGAGAGAGAAAGAAAGAAAATGAGAAAGCAAGCCACCAAGTCTGGGATTTGAACTGTGGTTGGTCATGTGGGAGTCCAGTGCCATTAACCACCATGCCACCTGCTGGCCTCCACTTGTCCATTTTTAATTTAAAAAAATATTTTTTTGGGTGTTTATGCTGAGTTGATTGAGTTCATTATATATGCTTGATATTAATACAAGTGATTTATTTTG